TGGGGACTAAGACATGACAGAGATTTATATCACACCCATTTTCATGCAGAGGGTGTCATTTGCATATGAGTTATAGCCTTGTCACACAGAGCAAGAAAGTCAGCAACTAGCTAAATTCTCACTTGTGGGAGATGTTTTGCTGGCCTGTGGCACCTTATCAGCAGGCAGAAAAGGGGTGCTGCGATAATGAAAATATCTCATTCTTCCTATATCTTGATAAAGTTGTTCAAGAAAAACAATGCAGCCTCAGACTGTAGTGATGCTGTAAATCCTCACTTCAGTGCTGGTATCTTCCCTGTTCAACAGAGAAAAAATGCTCCCTCCATACTTCTGAAGGAATCATTTTTACAGCAACCTACAGCTTGTAGGGAGAAGGTAGGATGACTATTCATGGCACACTTTCATAAGAAGTACTTATCATCTTATTCTTGCCCTGCTCCCACTGCAAAACAACAGCCACCTTCTATTAAAAAATTTAATGAGATCTTTGTAAAACCTACATTTTCATAACTCAGGAATATCCCTTTCAAAAATAGGACAAAGGTATCAGTACACGGACTCAGAAGTCCATGGACTGAAGTACAGGACTCAGAAGAAAACAGCTACAGATGTTCAATGATTGTCATGATTTATGTTCAGTTTGCTTGGATTTTGGATTGGGACCTGAACAACACAGCAGGTGAGATGATGCCATCCTTATTCGTACAGGTAATGTTGTTATGAACAGACCAGCTGGACTGCAAGACTAGCACTTAAGCAGAAGCGAATATGGCATAGTCATTAATTCCTGGGGATTAATGACTGGCTGAGAGTTGATGATAGCCAGAAACACAGGCAGTCATTAATCTTAATCTTCAAGAAATTATGTCTATCAAGGTCATTATTTCTGTAATAAGATAAAAGCAAACAAATACCTAATGTCATACAGATATTTATATTTTTAATGATGTCTCAGCTGCAATATAAAGTTCATGTCTCATTAACAAACATCCTATACATTCACCTGCTAGAGTGGCTGAACTCTTATCTTCTTAGAAGCTTTATGCTGAGATCAAGATTTTGAAGGGGAGAAGCCTTCTTTGTCTAGACTGTTAAACCCACAGCATGACTGCACACCTGCCTGAATATAAAGAGCCAAATATTCATCAACTCCCACTGATCTCAGATATTACTCATCTGTCAGAGGTGGGCTGAGCACCTTGCAAGCCTACTGATTCTGGAGAGTTTGCAAGTTGGCTTTCACAAGACAGCCACAAGCCATACAAAGCCACATGAATGTGAAAAGGGAAAAGGAAGGACAGGTTCACAAGTGTGTAATAATATATTGGGACTACTCTGTTTATCCACATCTTTGGGAAGTAAATCTTACTGTCTCATTTCGTGTTATACTACTTGCAATCAAGCGCATTTTTAATATGCCTTCAGTTGCAGTAGAGGTTGGTTCTGACTTCACAAATGAATTATTCAGAAGTAAATTTGATGAGCTGGTTTTCTATAAATACACTGAATGTTAATGCAGTAATAATGGTGTGTAGGTCAAGCTGATCTTTAACAGTCACATGGCCTGTTTATGCACTCTATACAGCTTTTGCTACCAAGAGGATGCAGATGGGACTTCTTCTCTGTCCCCTTGCAAAATACAACTCCAAATGACAGTGCAATGTGCCTTCTCATGCCCCCGTTTCCCTTGCAATTGTTCAAAAGAATGTTACAGTGAATTTTATTACTGATTTAAAGAGAAAGAAAAGCTGGATCTCTCAGCAGCAGTGCAAAAATTAGAAATGCAACTTCTAAAGGCAATATTAGATCTAGAAGCCCTCAAGAATTAAGCACAGACTTTAGCCACGCTCTTCCAGCCACCAAAAACACTTGGCAGCAACAGCTGCAATGTTGCTGGTGTCTGATCAGGAAGTGATCAGACTAATGGACCCAGCAGTCCAGGGAGACAGCAGGCAGTGAAGAAGCCATCTTATGGAAGAAGACTGAAAGAAGGTCGGTGCAGTATGAGAAAGGCCAAGAAGTAAATGCTAGATAAATCCAGAGAAAGGAAATGAGACAAGGAGGAGGAAGATGTAAGGAGCATGCACAAGTGCAGGTGCTGCCAGAGTCCTCATGTATATGTTAGCTTTGATAGACACCTTTCAAACTTTTTTTTATTTCAGAGTGGTACTTTTTAATGCTTTCATAAACTGCTCTTTTTCTGCACATCCAACAAATTCAGCAAATGATGCAATGTTTTTGACCTATTGATCTAAGTCATCATCTGGCAGAAATACTGAGGAAATTTAGGCTGACTAAAGTAAGAATGAAAAAAATTTATAACATCTTTCTGCTATTCCTTTGAGTCTGATCCATACTTGCACCAAATTATTTGGAAGAAACCCTTTAGCCTCACAGGCCATGCAGCAGGTCCATCATCATTCATTACATGAGTACAGCAGAGCTGCTTTTCTTTGCTTACACAAAGATCAAAATTGTTGAGTTTTTTTTGGTAGAGGAAAGGACATGTATATTGGAGAGAGCCACATGGGTCAGAGAAGGCACCAGGTACTCCTTTACATTTCTACATCTTCCCAGATAATGGATTTATAAAGCAAAGGACTGATTTCTCAGACACTTTTAATAAATACTATTTATTTCAATTTGTAATAATTAAATGCTATCAGTAAGTAAGTAATTAAAAATTACTTAGCTGGCGTGGTAAAAGACTCTTAAAATAAAGATGATGCACTAATTTGGTTCTTCAATGTCATTATACACAGATTAAAACACAAAAAGATGAGGAGAATTTGATCGGTAAAATTCATACAGATCCAAGCAGATAATTAATATTGTATACAGGAGGTACCCACATCCATTTTCACACACAGTTTTTAAGTGAATGTAAGATTAAAATACAATGACATCCACATGTATTAACTAGCATTACCTGCTTCAACCTGACACAGTATTTATACAAAAGGAAATTTTTCTTTCATGGAAGTTTGCAGAATAAGCTGAATACAGAATAATTAATACAGAAATTCAAAAGCTTAAAATCTCTGAAAACAACATGAGTGTGTTCAGTGGAGATATCCAGTACTCCTCTTTGCCCTTCAAACTGCCTGCTGTGTAAAAGATCTTGAAAGCTATGCCTGTGTATAAATGAGGTGGTGTCTCAGAAAAGGTTAACAATGTGTGACAGAAACATGGATGCATTTTTCTCAGACTTTTCCTACAGTCTGTTTATAACAAGCTAAAACCAGAGTTCCAAATGGAAAAACAAGTGATTGAATGAATTGCACTTTCATGCTTTCATGAACTAAAATTTGAATTCTGTAAAGTCAGCAAAAGCTTGAAATACCGGCTTCTTTATATATACCAACTTATCTGCACATACATATATATACCAAATATCTGCACATACATAGACTATTTTCCAGCAGTTTTTTGTCCATTTCTTCATGGAAGTTTTGCATTAAAATACAGAGTTTACTTTAAATGTAGGTAGATTTTTTCTGCTTTGTAAATTTAACTCAGTGTGCTAGTTTTAATGAAACATCCAGATAATGAAATGGCTACTGCCTTGCACTTACTTGAAGGCCACAATATATTTCTATTCCCAGTTTTTCTAAAGCCTACTACTTCCAGGACAAATGTAAGACTTTGGAAAGGAAAGAATCTGTAAGCAGTGAAGCACTACATGCGAAAAAACCCTGAAGAAATTGTTACTGGATTAATTTAAGTAAGACTTATGCATTGCAAACATCTCTATCAATCCACAATCAATCAAGCATTTCAATTGTATCAGTCGTTTTACTGACATAATGAAAATCAGAATTGAGTTACTTGACAAACTTAATTATAAGTAATACCTGTTTGTCAGAAGTGTTCGGCTTTTATCTCTCTCAAGATGAATTTCAGATTTCAAACCTCTTTTGTCCTTCACTGTTGTGAAGGGGAAAACCTCTGGATCACACTACACAGTGCAAGCTTACTACAGCAGAAAAGTAGACAGGTCTGAACACTGAACAAGCTATGTATGGGAAACAAGTGAAATAAGCTTGAGCAATGGAAAAATACCTGAGAGATTATATTATTCTCAATTTACATTAGGTTTAGTTTGTGCTCCAGTCAACAATTCTAGCTTTCTTGTACTCTTCAATCTGTTATGTATGCTCATGTGAAGTGCTATATATAGTTTTTGGTCACTAAAGTTTGAAAGGTCTGTCAGTAGTATTTAGGTCTCTTTAAAACATACCTATTCCTTCACAAGTGCTATTTCTCAAGACAACTATTACTGCAGCAAGAGAGGTTCTACAGACACACAGACATCAAATAACACATGAATTTTTTGGTTCTTCTACTAGAATCTGAGAGTCAGATCAACCCACAATTATAAAGCCAAAATGGTTTTCCTGCCAGCTTCTCAGATCAAAGCAGTGGTCTTCTTGCTAATTTGTTAAAGAAATAATAAATCACACCATACTTCGATAAAGCAAATAAACTGTTTACATACATGTAGCACAGAGGTATCTTGGCTGCATTTTTACTAATGTCAGCATTAAACAACCTGAAGTCAAAGAAACAGAATCTCATTCTTTTCTACAGTGCATATGACAAATTATCCACCACTGTGACATTTTTTTAAAATAAAATCAAAACCAGAGAGGAAAACAAATAAAAATCTTTATGAAAGTACAGGATGATACAGTTTGTGTAGCTTTTATGTATCTGCTGGAGTCAGAAGAGAAGAGAATCAGTACTTATGCATCGACCAAGTGACCAGTTTTAATTTCACTGTAATGAACACATTTCCTAAGTTGAAAGTCTTGGTGGGAGTATGTATATCACACCATAAAAGTGCAGAACTCTCTCAGAAAATCCAGACACATTCAGAAAAGACTGATGAAAGCAACAGAAATGCAAAAAACAGTTTCATGGAGGAAAAGAAAAATAAAACATTTTGTTTGCTTTTGCATCAGGAAAGAAAAAAAAAAAAAAAAAAAAAAAAGGCATACCTTCGGCAAGTGGGTCAAGTGTGTGAATCATGAGCTGGAAGATGCTGTTCCTCATTAGACTGTTGTGGAGAGATGCAGAGCTTCCTCCCCTCTGGAGACGTGGCTTGGTCTAGGGTAAAAAATGTGGTGAAGAATTTAGGGTCTTTTTGTTGTTTGTGTGGAATATGAATTAATCTCACACCTCACTGCACAATGAAACTATAGCAGGTTATGTTAAGCTACAAACTTCACCCATTGCCATAACTATAGATAATGTCTCTGGAGGGGATGGATTGTCAGAACAGACATTAGTCTCCCAGACTCAGGAAAAAAACATGGCAAAAAGAATCCTTCTCATTGAAAACTCATTAAGTGTTAAGAAAATGAAAGCTCATACTTGCATCAGGAAGACCTAATAATTTAATTCTTCGTAGAACCTTTTGCTTGAATCCCTGAATTTATAATTTTTATTACTTCAGTACATTGCAAATATGTGTATGATCAAAACTATGGAGAAAAAGGGAAGACAGTAGTACTCTTTTTAAATGGCACTCAGTCAGAAAGATGCTCCTTGCTTTGGCTGAATCCACTAAAGTCTCATGGCAAAAAGAGATTGAAAGTGTGGTAAGACAGTACAGAATCTAGTGTACAAGCATCTTTTGCATGCTTGTAATTGAATACAAAACATACTCTGAGATTCTGTTCCCCATACAATTGTCTAGTACAATAATCAACGCACTGTATATATCTCACAGAGGAAGACTTTTTTTGTGGCTATCTGTTTCGATAAAAAGGGTAGTGAGACCCAACAGACTACTGACTAGAAAACCCTGAAATCCAATTAGAAAGAAAATAATATTTGGCAATAATGCATGGATTAATCTTTGGCATCATACATATATAAAGTGATAACTTATAGAAAACAATAAAGAAGATTAATTTACTGCTTTATGTTTGGAAATAAATTATTTAAACGCTACTGCAGTATAGGAAAAGAATGAAATCCCAGCAATTTAGAAAAATGTTGATGCATGGCAAACTAATGTAAGGCTTGCCTCACCACCCTCCTGAGAAACAAATACTCAGATGCATAATTGCTGCCTACCGTCAACGTTTGGTCATCCTTGTCTCCAGCATTAGGTGACTGCATGAATGGGAAAAAGAACAAAAAGAACTGTCAGATAGAGCACACAAGGAGTGGAAAGGCAGTAGAACATCACACATGTTTGATCCTATGAATTCTGTTGTGATTGATTTTTGAACAACTCAAGGCATCCTACTGATCAAGTAAATCAGAGTAAATTCACACTGCAATATGCAAGAGCCTTTTACTCTTGTCAGTTTCTTGGACAGGAACTGGTGTCATTTCAGGCCTGGTATAGCAGCTGGGATGTATATTCATGTCATACAAATAACCCAGGGAGGCAAACTCCCTGTACAGGAACCAATTTGAGAGAGTGAAGATAGAAGACTAGGGGCAACAAGAAACTCAGGATTGACCAACTGTTTCACAAAAAGCCTAAAAAGACTAACCTTCGTATTTTGCAGGAAGAGACTAGGCAAAGAAATGAAAAAATATGTTTCAGATTACCACTCCCTACAAATTAACATGTAGCTCTGATTAAGGGCAACCAATATGGTGCACATTGCCCTGCCATGAAAGAAAATGACACTCTGAATGGGTCTTAAATTATTTTCTCAGACTCTTTAGTGCTATGCAATACACAGAAAACAAATTACATCACAACCGTTCTACAGAACAATCTCTCCCATTCAGTGAAACACAGTTTTTAGACACACATCAACAGTAATTTTTTGGACATGTCTTTTGGGTTAACTAACTTTGAAGGTTAAGTGGAAGGCAAGCAGCCATGAATAAACACTGATGACAGAGCAATTCCTCTATGTTCCATAATAAATACAAGAATAATGAGAACCAAACTCCTTGTCAAAAATGTACTATTACTGCTCTAACCATTAACTCAAAGAAAAGATAAGCAGACAACAAAAACATCTTTGTTCTAATAAAGGAATTTTATGCTCTATTGAAGTTTTATGCTCTATTGAAGAAAACTATCACAAAAAGAACTTTGCAAGGAATAAAAAGAAAAGAAAACAAAAAGAAAATACAAAATCCGTGTTCTAAAATTTCATTTTAAAAGTAGATGCATCTAAGAAAATATTGGCCTAATGTGTACACATGTGTGGTTATATATTACAGATATCTGTGCGTTTCAGACACAAACACACAAAAAATTATCAAATTCTCAATTTATATATGAGTATTTTGAGGGACCTTCACAGAAAAAAAATCCATCTCACAGCAAAATTTGCAAGAAAGTAAAAAGGACAAGCTGGGAAAGGCTTTTATTGTCTCCAAAAAAAGCAGTTTAGGGTTGTTGAGTCCTAAGGATCAGTGGGTATAGTTATAGAAGTAAAGTCTGTGATAGGTGGATAAATGTGCAGAAGTGGAACTTGATTAGAAGTTAAAAAAATGTATTATTTGGAACTTTGATTTTCTGAATATAGGAAATCCATTTAAAAATTCTTAATATTGAAAGATATGAGAATGTATAATTGATGAAACTGAGTACATTGTACTTTCTATCTGACAAAGGTCTGAAGACTATCACTATTCAAAATTTCATGTTGAATGAAACACTTCTCATTTATTTGAAAAAGAATGAGATGAAGTTAAATGAATGTATAAAAACAGCTAGTTGATAATTTGCACCACATAATTCAATTAGTAAAAGATAATTATATAAAAAAGAAAAGAATAATGAGACACATTTTCCATATGCATTAAGGAAACAGAAGTGTGAAATAATTTCATTATTTGCCAATATAAATTGGGGCATACACCATGAAATGGATTTTTAAAATTATTTTTTCCACACATGATTAGCCATGCAATTGTTTCTGAGTTTAACTTGCCAGTTAAGTTATATTCTAGCAGAAATATTCAGAACAATTTCAAAAACAGGTATGTAAACAATCATTTGACAGTCTGGTGATACTAAATACTTGTATTTCCTGGATTGTATCTTGGAGAAATAATTAAAAATCCACCTTTCGATAGTGTCTTAAACTATGGCAATGAAAAATTCAGTTATGTTGCTGTTTACAGTATTGGATGGTGTTTGGTCTCAACTAGGATGGAAAATTAAACTATTTTACCATTGGCAAAAAGAATCCTTCTTTGAACTTTGAAGTTTTGAACATGGTCTTTGCTATTTAACTTGGTATCATACAGTGCATGGGAAAGTATCTTAAAGTATCATTTTTCCCTTGCAGAAATATTGAGTATTCAGGCATTTTGTGCCATCTGCCTTTAAGGCAACACCTAAAAACTGTTGTTGCCTTGCACTGGGAGTGAATGCTGCATTTATGGACACACTCAACAATGCTATTTAAAAGAAAATACATGGTTTCTGTAAAGATAGGTTTGTTCTTAAATCATGACAACTGTTGCATATCAGTTCCATTAGGATCAGAAAGAGATTAAGGTTCCATATTTTATACATTACAAACATTTCTGGATATTTTACTAGTAAAAATTAACTTTTGCGATTACTTGCTTTAATTTCTTTAAAACCATAAATTCATTATGATTCTGCAAAGTGGAAAAAAAAAGTTTTCTAGCATATCTTCTTATTCAAAATATTTGGGGCACAATCCATTATCCTGTTTTTATCAGAATTATAAAATGATTAATCATTACACAGATCACTAATTGTTTTAGATAATTCAATGGAGTATTTGTTAGTTTTCCCATATCCCATGGCAGGACATAAGAATTTGTCCATCCTCCTGACGCCATCAATGATCATGTATTCAAGCTTGCTTCAGGTGAGCTAAAAGTCTTAAAACATTTTGTTTCAGGAAGGATACATTAAAAATGTCTACTTGCTATGGAGAAACGGTTTCTGGAATTTTTTTATATGTTTCTCTTCCTCAGTGAACTATGTTCATCAGTGATTGAGCCTGACAACTTGCCTTGTTTGGGAACATATGTTGCTGAAAACCAGGCTTCTGAGTAATTCATGCAAGAGATGATGGCTCACTAAGTGACTGGTGAGTCTCCCAGCCCTTTCCTTTGACATAAAGGGTGTCATGACTGTCAAAGGAGGAGCAGACTCTATAAAAAACTCTAGGTATTTGACATAGAGCATCCCTGTTAACAAAAGATGGCTACTAACTTAAATTATCTGTTAGAGTGTGAAGTCCACAACCAGAGTCAGAAAGCTGACTGACTGCAGCTCGAGCTGATGTTGCCCTAATTGAAGCTTCCATGTTAAAGTAGCCAGAAACAATCAGTGAACTGGACTGCCCATTCTCTTCTCCTAACATGAGAAAAGCAAGTTGTCCAACAAAAGCAAGAAAAAATGTAATGGGATTTCAACACCCTTTCTGCAGTGTGGGTGCACATCTCTTTTCTGCTTGATAAATATTTTCCAAATATAATAATGAAAAGCTGTTAAAAATCAACCAATCAATCAGCTTTTCTGGGAATAATGGCATTTAATGACATTTGACAGTTCGCAGTGTGGTGCTGAATGCAATATGGTGTCTCCAATTATTGTATTATATGAGCCCAGACAAAAATTTGCAGAATTGCCTGAAGATGCTTTCTAGCCCAGGACTTCTGCTGCTCTCTCTTATGCCTGCTTTAACAAGTGGCATCTGGACACAGCAACTTTACAGCTGGCAGTGAGTCACCACTTGTAAGATCTCAAGTAATTTATAGAAGATAAGATTTCTTGGTGCATTTGTCTAGGATTGTCTAATCTTACACTTAAGGTCTGTAGGGTATTTTGTTAGACTGAAATGCAGAAAAATGAGATAGATTTAAAAGCCAGCCACTGAAGTCAATCTAGTTAACCTAAGACAATTTAGTTAATTTCTAAAAACCAGTATCCTAAGGAGTGCTAGTAATGCGCTTGGAATAGAACTGTTCTGCATTTCTTTGAAATTATATGGTAAGTCAAGTTAAAACATAACTAAAATTCTAGCAACAAATTCAGCTAGGCAGAATAAGCCTAATAAGCTTAGTGAGGGAACAAAAAAAAAGGTAAACTTTATCTAGTTCTCTTAATACATACATCTTTGCATTTTACCAAATTAGAATCCCTTAGAGCTCCTTTCTTTGAATACTCCAAAAAATCCAAAGTAATAACCTTTTACCTTCTTGATGGCTGGCTCAAAAGATCAAATCCTAGTGGTCTCAATATACTTATTCTAAAATTCTAGGTATCCATGGAAATAAAAGCTGACCATCACGACCTGTAGAATCTCTGGGAGGTGCCGCAGTGGGGCCAGTTCAACTAAACTGAAGGTGACACACCTCATTACCCCACTCTCTAGATTATTTCTGTAGAAAGGTTGTAAGTAGCTGCAAGGGAATACCTCTGTATTCAAGCTATAGTAAATTGATGGTAAGGATTTTAACTTACATGTTACTGTTTAAACATGAGTATCTGAATCCAGACTGTGAATTAACACTCCATACAGGACCCTGGATCTTATTTAAAATAGAGGAAGAAAAAGCTTTAGCAACTACACTGCACAAAAATATCCTAAAGTTGTTTTTAACTTTGCATTCTTTCTTCTTTTCACCTTTCCCTTTTCTAAAAGTAAAATAAAACAGGGAGTTTTACCTAAAGAAGCAGATTTCTGTATTGCTGAGAAAAGTAAATATGATTCACAAAACCACATACAAAATTAACCTGAGGTTGTGAAGTTGCTTTACTCATCAAAATGAAGAATTTATTAAATTAGAGGTTGAACTTCCAAAGACATTAACCTGGACCACCAAAATGGAATATCTGGCTACATTTATAACTGCTTGTTTAGAGGCACCAAGTGTGAAAGCTGTAGCTCTGGAACAAGCATAATGGCTTTGTTATTTCAGATCAGTTGTCTCTTTTATGCCAGTCTATTCATGCAATTACCCAGTGTGCATACACATAGTGAATCCTCATAAATGTTCAGGAGAGATGCATCTTAGGTGATTCGAGCAGTGACAAATAGATGGTGTAAGCCTTCAGTAGGTAAATCACATGCTAAAGTTAGGTCAACTGATTTAATTCCAGATATCTGTGCATCCCACTGTGTGAAATAAGACTCTTCTAGTCAGACTGT